ATATATATACACACACACATATATATACACACACATATATATATACACACACATATATATATACACACACATATATATATACACACACATATACATACACACACATATATACATACATACACATATATACATACATACACATACATACATACATACACATATATACACATATATACATACATATACATATATACACATATATACATACATATACACATATATACATACATACATACATACATATAGAGGAACTGCTGCTACTATCAGTATGAGCAGAGCACCAAGAGTGTTAGCGACAGGCTAGCAGCTCTTTAGTATCGAGTTGCCAACAAAAACGATATATCTACATTATTAATAACAATGAACACTGTCTTACAAAGTTGAGCTGCTGCATTGGGATGATGTTTTTAAAGACCAACTTAAAATCCCCTAAAAATCTGGAATTGTATAACTGTAAAATAATGGATCGTCATCATTTTCCAAAATCTGAGAAGACTTGTTCACTGGCCAACATGTATTGTCTAAAAGAAGAGATCCCATCATCAGCTGACTCTACTCACATGTGAGGGTTCTGGAAGGAGGGAGCCGTTGGATGGAGCGGGAGCCTGGAGGCTGGTTTCACTGGAGGGTTGGCGAAATTCAGCTTCAGAGCTTTACGTTTACCTGGCGGGACAAAGAGAGACACCGATCCAGATTCCCACAACATGCACACCACACTGTAGGTTCAGCCAGCTGGTGCACACAGTGTGATCTCACCCCGGTAACCTCTGTCTCTCCACACTTGAGATAAGCCTTTCCATGTGTGCAATAAGCAATACTAAGAAATCCAGGCCGCAAAACTTTCATAGGATCCAGGTAACGGCACATTATGGTGCTTTGAACAGTTACATCTGGATAATAGGTCTGTTGAGAATGGTGAGGAGAAAACATGATTTTAAGATCCAGTCTATGACTTTTGGGTTATCTCAAGTTCTTGTCAGATCAGAGGAAACACAAAATGCAGTTTGAACTCAAGCCAAGTGCCCGGATGTACAGGGTTTCCCAATACGCAGATGCTGCACCAGTTCCTTTAGCTTGTCATCCAAACATTATCTTTATTGGAACTGTCATGGCTGTAAAAGAGCCTTGCTGCAGGATACTGTTATTGGAAACCCGGTTCACAACTTAACAGTTCCCTCAAGATATCGAAGTGACCCAAAACTTAGATAGCACTTGATTCCAATTGAAGACAAGTGATCAGTGTCTGTCACCTGTAAGTGCCGATGATACTAACTGCTATGCAAAGAGCTGAGTTTAAGTGTTGGGTCGTCTTTGCCATGCCCTGCTCATCCAGCTCCTGAGTGCAAACGGATCCCTTAACCTTTAAGTCCCGGTGCAAATGAATCTCTCCCGACCTGCATCTGTGTCAGTTAATAGCAGTGAACAGTGGACAGATCCCCAACTACCAGAGCACCACACAGGCTGTTTCAATAGTATACAGTGGCTTCCTTTCATCCATGCTGTCCAATAGCATGAAGGTCACAATGACAACGCTGATCAATCACTAGTCAGCAGCGCGCCCATTCGTCAGCCAATGGTTGAACAGAAACACAGAGGAGAGGAGACCACTTTAGACTACTGAGGTGTACCCACAAAGGGAGGAGGTCGGTGTGCTTTGTGTGCGAGTCTATTGCTTACTTTGGGACACTCCAGACAGGCTTATCTGAAACCCTGAAGTAAAGAAAACACATTTTACTACATTTTCTTAGGGCTTGTTTAAATGTGAGCGGCTCATTATTCATTAGTGCCAATGCTGAAAGTGGAATACAGGCAGGTTGAGAGAAGGGTCTGGTTCAGTGCACTGCCATGCAACTGTACCTGTAACTTGATGTGGTCCCATTGTATTCCCAGTGGAATGAGGGACAGATGAACCAGGTTTTGTTAATACTAGCCAAATAGCAGAATGTATTAAAATGACTATTTGATTGCTGTGTTTCCCCCTGACGATATCAGTTTTACTATTTCACATCAAAAATAAGTGACGACGAGGTAGAAAGTGTCTGGACTCTTGTTTTCGTGGAATATGCCAGAGCTCAGTGGAGTATCACTGTTGACCACCGGTGTGCTGCTGCTTTTCCTCTGACGTAAGACATATTAACAGTGGGGCTGGGACCATATGCTTATCTCCCGATGTTAGAGCCAAATATGGTGGTGTTATTCTCTGTGTACACATTGGGTTGCGCTATACTAATGTCCTGTGCTCGGTCTATATAGCTATGGAAATCACTGTTGTTGTCAGGTGTTTGACCCCGGAAGGGCAAAGGGTTTTTGACCGCTTTACGGTAACAGTTTCCCCGAGTTTATACAACTGGTATGTTTAATGTCGGTGGAAACGAAGGAAATAAACAAACTTTCATTCAACAAACTGGTCAGTGAATTTGTACCTAATGCAACGCACATCAAAGGTAATCTAGACGTACAACGAGCGCGTCAGCCAGGTCATTCCAGAGGGAAGACTGGGCTTCTTTAACACCCGATTCAATGTGTATCGTAATTTTTAAGTACTGCGATTCCACAAGTATCGTGATTAGATTTTACGATTTATTGGGACCATGGGAAGAAGTTGTATTACACACTTCAGAAATTCTTACTCATTTCAGGGTTTTAGGAGTCCTGTAGCACTGTGTGCTGAATCATTTAAAAAAAAATCTATAACAAAAATGTTATTTTTAAATATTGAGATACTAAGTGAATCCTTTTTTCACAACCCTAAATGACTCTTGTTCCACTGGCACGTACTTCTCTACATGGACACATTCACTGCTCTGGTAACCACTGTTCCATTCCCATATGCCACTTCTTACCCTAAAACATGGACATAAAGCCTATTGCCAATAGTCAAAGTGGCACACCACTAAGAATGAGCTTAGCACTAACATGAGAGTGCCACACCACATGTGGAAACTGGCCTCTATCTGTGGAACCAGTGGTGCAAGATCAAATACTCAGTTTCCGGCCCAATCACAAAATTCATCCAATTCAATACAAAACAGCCCAAATCATAACTTTGACAAAAACCCATGGAAAACATTAAAACCATTACATGTGCAATAGAAAACACATCGTAAGCATACAAAGCTTGATATCGGCATCAAATAACCAAAGATAAAAAGTTTGATAAATAGGCTATCAAAACCCACAAATAGAGCGGTCAGACAACCAAATACACTAATTGCCATGTCAATGTTAATCAAGATAACATCAAGGTAGGTAGGTCCTCCGTTATCCCTAAGCATGATTGAATGTTGTATTCATGTCTATCAAATAGTTCTCAAATTAAAGGAGTCAATAATATGAGTGCCCACAATGAAGTTTACTGAATTTTTTTATCTGATTTTGACCATAAAATGACAGCTTGTTTGGTGATATTTTTTCCCCAATATTTTCAAAACCCTGCCAAATATTGACAAAAGCAGCCCATCACTATATTACCCAGCACAACTTAATCAAAAGTCGCCCAATTGGGCGGAAACCAGGCCAATCTGGTGACAGTGAAGACCACAAGCTACAAGCTGTTTATCTGAACTGACTAAGACCAAAACAACCGATTAGTCAAATAATGGAATAAGAGGAGACAGCACTAGTTAACATAATGAACATTCCATCATCAGCAGTCCAGTGAGAAATGGTAAAATGCGGTAGTATTTAGTGGAACATGACTCTTTATGCCATAAGCCAGATGAACAGCAGCAGCACAGCAGAAGTTCACAGTGGCATACCACTAAAAAAACATGTCACTAAAACTCTTTAGTGACATGTTTTCTCTCTCTTCCACATTTTGATACCAGTGTAGCTGAGGAAAACTCTCCCACAGGCCTGCTGATGCAGTGTCTCCTCATGGGGTCTGTCTACTGTGTCTACATCATAGACTGTAGAGAAGAACACATACGGTCTACGTAAGGTCATTACAACATTCAAACTTGATTAAAACATGCAGATACATGGATAACAAATTAAAAATGACATTTTGAAACAAAGATTTAAAGGATGATCAACAGAGGAAGATGGATAGGGAACATTTTCAGGAAAAGCTTTGCCAAGATAAGTGCTGATCAAACCCAATGTGAACACACAACCCCAACAGCAGACTAGTGAACAAGAAGTGGGAGTACCTGTTTCATTTTGACATCTCCAGCAGGTGTTGGTTTCTGTAAGGTTTAGAGGAAACATTTGATCGGAGTCACAAATACAACTCGCATTTGTTGACCACTGGATACATAACTGCACTGCTGTTTGTTTGTTAGCTTACTGGTGCTAAAAGGTAATGTCGTCCGATAATGGCTTCAGAGTGTGGACTCAGAGGCAGTTAGGTTGAAATGTAACGTCACCGATTCAACTTTATAACATGCGTTGATGACAGAACCAACGGCAGACATATTGTTACAGTACAACAGCAGTGTTAAAGACTGAGCTGTGTATTTCATGCTATCACATTATCTGACGGGCTGTTACGGTAACAACTTCCTGAACGAGGACCTCCGTGACGGTGTCAAACGAGGGAAGCAAATTCAACAACAACATTTAAAAAATATGAATATAATTACTAAATCCAACTCTGTGTAATTTTTGTATCACGTCTTTGCCCGAGACAGCGGTGCAAACAGTGGCCTGGCTTAGGAGAGAGGAACCTGAAGTGTAGGCCTTGGTGCTAACGCTACTTGTAAGTTAGCAGCCAGGTGCTAATAATGTCGGTGAGTACACATTCACTGAATGCGTCTTTACGATGTCAAACATGAGTGATTTGGGTTTTGTTTCGAAGGAGAATCGTGTGGGACTGAAGGAATGAAGACACTTCCTAAAGGTCTGTCGGTTGTGCAGACAAACATCACTGCTAAACTGATAGCAGTGTAGTTTCATACTCAAGCTAAGCAAATCAAGCTAGAGCGCTAGCGGAAACTGCGCAATTCAGACTTCTAAATAAAAGCGTCAAATTTGACAACCAACCAATGATACTATAGCTGTATGATAATGCCACTGCTGTGTTCAAAATGACTCAAATCAAATGAAAAATACCACGTGTAAATATTCAAATATTTAGGTTTTTCTGTGTATCATGTCAGCCTTGTCTGAAATGTGTAAAACGAATGCCTGATCAATAATTAGCACTATCCAGTATTTGTCAACAAAATGCCACAGATGTATTGAAGAGAAATGATGAGTGAACTCACATATACGGTTAACTGTGCTTATCCACAGAAGCCAACTAGCTACATTTTCTAACAACTAAGAATGTCAAATTGCCAGCTCCATTAATAACACTTGATATAATCAATCCAAAGTCCGAATTTTAAATTCACATTATTCATTTTATTTTAAAACGATAAAATGACGTGTTCACAATCCTAAACATTAACTACATAGTTAACAGTTTGTCCTATGGGCAACAACGCGGAACTTATTTTGAAAATTCGGACAGAAAAGCTGTACTCTCTGTGTCACTTGACTGTGGGTTTTTCTGTTTCTGGGAAGCTACAAGCTACCTTTTCCTACTAACTCCATAGTCTTCAGTAGGAAAAGAAAAACGGTGAAATAAAGAATACCTTGCATGCTGCTGCTGTGTGTCTGCTGGTGAAAATGGTGCGACATGGATCCTCCAATGTTGCTGTTGTTGCTGGAGCTTGTGGAGTTGCTGTCAGGCCTGGGAGTCGCCATTGTTATGTTGGATTCCGGTAGCAGCGCTCAGGCTGCTATGCAGAGAGAAACTTCGCCCTCTCTGTCTCCAGACGGGACACTGCGCCACTTGAACCCAGCAGCTGCACCGTGGCCACGTCTGTGCTGCGGTTGCGTTCAAGAACCGTCGGAAATACAGTTATCAAGCATTTTGGCAATGCTGCCTAAGGATATAACATCTCATTGTCATCCGCAAGCAGAAACTCCATAGTGTCAATGCACTACCACTGTGTCAAAGCTGTATTCATAATCCAACCTCAAGTGATATTCAAGTGACAAACTCAAGTAACAGAACGCTTGTATCCACCACTTTCCTGTGTAACATGAATGCAGCATAAGAGTCCAGCGACCTGACAGAGATATTTAGATCTGCACAGAACTAATGATGGTATATTTTTTATTATTCGTTATATTGTTTTACATTGTGAATCATCTTGTGCAGAACTTCTAACTTCTAACTGGGATTTATATCAGGTGGTTAGCAATACACTGCACCGATCAAATCTCACTACATTGCACAATAAATTGCTCTGCAATTAACAGTAAAAGAAAATCATTTTCTGTATGTGCAATCTGCAACATGCAGAAAGGCATCAATACAAATCTATTCATTCTTAAAATGTGTGTATAAATATGCAAGTGATATCATTTAAACTCCAAATGAAAACACAACCAGTGTATAAGATATACTTCACACTTTGTCCGGATAATAAATAATATAAACTCATAAGTGCAATCAAGTATTTGAGGTACTGCATTTGCTTTGCTGAGGTAAGTGGACACTCTAAAAACACAGAATGTGGCTCTGTGTTTTTGAAATAGTTGTCATTGCTTCACAATTGAAAGTATTTCCACCTTGGCTCTTCTTATAACTAAAGTAATGAAAAATGACAGTACTTCCACTAATGAAGTGAGTTAATTTGTGAGTGTTTTTCATCGGAGTAAAACTGTAAAGTGACCAGTGTAAAATTCCTAGACTTCTCCAGAGAATGTAACAAACATCCTCTAGATGAGCCATGCAGGAAACCTCTCCAAACACAGACATTATATTTCCTTGACAGCTTCAGTATTGCATGAATCTTAATAACAGCATGCGTCATATCGCCGCATGATCTGTGTCACTTGGAATGGGAAACAGAAAGCGTCGGTCAGTGATCCTCCCGTTCCCCTTCAGCACCATCCTGTCCTCATACACAGACACTGTGCCAAAGGCGTTGCTGTCAGGTGGAGTCTCAATCACCCCCGCTAACGTCATGTGGTGCACTCCTGTGTCTTTGTCCTGGTAGTATCCACCGTCGTGGTCGTGTCCAGCCATGAAACACACCACACTGCTGTGGGACCGTATGATGGCCAGGAGCTCCTCGAAGTTCCAGGCGAGGCAGATGTCATCTGTGGAGCAGGGGTGGACAGGGAGGTGACCTGGGCAGGACAACAGACATTGAGAGGTCTTTTACCTGGTGAAGCTGATAACATTCATGTTCCATGAATGGAAGAATTGCTTTAATTGTTTAGTCTAGAAAACACAAAGAAAGTGGAAAAATGCCACTCTCAAGTTAACAAAGAGACGTCTTCATGTTGATCGTTTTGTCCAACCAACAGTCTTAAGCTCATTGCGTCAAGTGATATCACTTGAGTCTGCGTCGTTTGGAGCTACTACAATTTTTGAAGAATAAAACAAATTCTCTTTTAAAGATATTCCATTGACTATGATGTAAAAATCCTGCTATTGACACACTAATCAACAGGTGAGGCTGAGACAGAGATGCACTTCCTCCTAAAATGCAAAACATTCAATACAATTAGGAACATGTACTTTAAAAATTTCAACTCTGTCATTTCAGATTTTAAAAAAAATGTAGTGACATCTCAAAATTAAAAATACTCCTAGGAGAAGGAGATAGGGCATATCCTGCTGCCCAATATGTATTAACATGCCACAGCCTGAGGGACAGTGAGTGACCTACACACACACACACACACACACACACACACACACAGTATATATACAGTATATATATATATAATAATCAATCTAGATGTTATATTAATGTTATTAATGCCTCAGGTCCGCCGGTGCAAACACTCTGAAGACCATCAGGACGAAGCGCCGGATCTGGGATGACAGGGCCTTCTCAGCTGCTGCACCTCCCCTCTGGAACGCCCTCCCCATCCACATCCGTGAGGCTCCCTCCCTATCATCATTCAAACAAGCCCTCAAAACCCACCTCTTCAATCGACGTCACAATCTGAATTTCAAAACGTACAGACGCAAATAATTCATAAATAAGACGATCGCATTCCGCCAGTAGAAATAGATCCTGTGCTTATAAACAGAACACAGGACACAGTTTGTTAACAGACTACAGAGAGAAACACCTCTACAGTGGTGATTACTGTGTGTCTTTATTAGTTATTAGTATTATTAGTTACTATTATTAAGTACAGTGATCATGTGAACAGACACAAACTTCTCAAAAGTCTCTCCAGCTGTTAAAGCCGACTGACAGCTGATCCAGCTGTGATCAGCTGATCCTCCGTCATCAGAAACAGACGTCGCTTCACGTGACGCAACTGAGGAAAGGACGTCTCATGTCTCTTAAAACATAGTTCCTCGTTCCTCTCTCCTCGCATGGTTTCCTCCTCGCCTTCACCTGCTAACCCCTGCACCCTACCCTCCTTTACATGACCCATTCAGCACAGCTTCTCCAGTCATTCTTTTTTTTGTTTTTTTTGTTTGTTTGTTTGTCTCTGCCTTGTAAAGCGTATTTGGGTATCTTGAAAAGCACTATAGAAAATTGACATATTATTATTATTATTATTGTGTAGTAATGTTATTGTGTATTAATATTATTGTATGTTAAAATTGTTTTTGATGCTTTGGCAATACTGTTTCTAAACTTTCATGCCAATAAAGCAAATTGAATTGAATTGAGACAGTCCTTCAAGCAGCAAACAGCTGTTTCTACACACCTCCATCTGATGGAGAATCATTGATAAATCCAAAATAGATTGTGTGCGCTGAGAATGCTTGAGTTTTCTTCACTGCACAGTGGAGACAGAGGATCATAACAGAGCTGTGATTTCTCTGAGCAGAGAGAGCTTCTGGCCAGGACTAAACACAGAGTAACGGGAAGTAAGAGCTCCACTTAAGGCTGAACTACTCCTCTGAGGCACACTACACGTATTCTTTGTCAGTATCAGGGGGTGAGTTGGGTCTCCGAGTGGATTTACAGAGGCTCAATACAGGTCTGTTTCACAAAGATGTGATTAGTTAAGATGGGGCTCCTCACACTACATCAGCAGTCCACTTGTAACATGCAAGAAATCAAAAATAATGTTTTACTTACTGATAATTGTGACTCTTTCCCGTTTGTCATCGGCCAAGGACAGAACAGAATCCAGCCAGTCCAGCTGGTCCTTACTGAACCCACCGTTGAACATCGTGAACCTCTGCAGCAGGCCATTACACACTGAAACAGAACACTACATATAACATCTGGATCTAGTTGCTCTTCACTGTCAGGCTAAATCCCAATGTCCCCCCTAAACCCTCAAACCCTGAACCCTCAATGACTTACTGACGTCACCTGGAAGTGGTGAGTGTGAGAGACTGTGAGGGCTTGAGATGGTGTAAATAGGAATGGGACAGCACTTTGCTGCAACATATCACATTACCATGAAAACGACAAAAAATATGATGTATAATTGTGTGTATTTATTTTATATTTTGTACTCCCTGATTTGAATGTCTTCCAGGCTCTTTCCTCACAAGATGAGAGGTAACTTCATATAATCTATTTACTTGTTTTTATCAAAACGTCTTCAATGACAAAATCAAATATTTGATGAATAAATAAATAAATGTCTTCTGATTTCATGTTTATTTTTTCTTCCATCTTTAACCCTTAATGTTTGAGTAAATTTATGATGACAGGCTGAACACATGTGAGCCGTCCTCTTTGTTTACCTTTTTTTTACGTCTCCATGCGTCCACTGGTTACCCCGTGTTTAACGTCACATTGCAATGATTTGTGGGTAATTCCCTTAGGCTAAGTCTTTGACAGTGGGACAGCCCTAAACCCTCACGGACTTCGCGGGAGCGCGCCTCAAAGTCCGTGAGTCCGTAAGGGGGGACATTGGGATTTGGCCACTGTCACATCGTCAAGTGTTTGAGGCTCTCTTGCAGACATTTTGAGCCCTTTATGAACCCTTTCCGTAAGTCAGCATGGTATGCTGACTTAGCCGAAGGGAATTACCCACAAATCATTGCAATGTGATGTTAAACACAGGGTAACCAGTGGACGCATGGAGACGTAAAAAAAAGGTAAACAAAGAGGACGGCTCACGTGTGTTCAGCCTGTCATAATAAATTTACTCAGAAACATTAATTAAGGGTTAAAGATGGAACAAAAAATAAACATGAAATCAGAAGATAGTTATTTATTTATTCATCAAATATTTGATTTTGTCATTGAAGCTGTTTTGACAAAAACAGGTAAATAGATGATATGAAGTTACCTCTCATCGTGTGAGGAAAGAGCCTGAAGACATTCAAATCAGGGAGTACAAAGTATAAAATAAATACACACAATTATACATCATATTTTTTGTTGTTTTCATGGTAACGGGATATGTTGCAGCAAAGTGCTGTCCCATTCCTATTTCCACCATTTCAAGCCCTCACACTCAACCACTTACCAGGTGATGTCAGTAAGTCCTTGAGGGTTCAGGATTTGAGGGTTTAGGGGGGACATGGGGATTTGGCCTTTCCTCGTTTCCTCTCTCCTCGTATGGTTTCCTCCATGCATCCCTGGGGGGATGTACCCCATGGGTACATCCCAAGTCTCTTAATTCTCATTTCCTCGATCCTCGCTTGAACCAGAAGTTGTTCTGCGCCGCCATATTGACGGCCATCCCAAAGCTCTTATTTAGCTCTGAGGATCGAGGATGGAGGAGGGATCTCTGAGGAGCCATGAGCGAGGACCCACGAGAACAGACTTACAGGAAGTCTTTTAACGGCTGACACACCCCCTCATTGTTCATCTGTCATGTGATTGGACGCTGCAGCCGATCGGACTGATGAGATTTTTTTCAACATGTAAACAGTGAAGACGGATCACAGATTAAACTCAAGCTTTATATTTGATTAGTTTTCTGATTCAACATCTGGTTTAAATAAATGTTCACTGTAGACTGAACAACAAAAGGACCACAAACAACTTTCTTCATTTATTAGAAAGATTTGTGTTTTCATGATCTGAACTTTTATTATGGAAACAATTAAAGTCAGAGGGAACTGGAGAGACGAAACACTTTTTACATCATTTATCATCATTTCATTCAGTCACGTGAGGCTGTTCATTCCTGATTGTCGGGTTTGATGAGTTTTATCATTTAAGAGAAACAATAATCATATTCTGGGTTATTTAATATCGACGTCACAATCTGAATTTCAAAACGTACAGACGCAAATAATTCATAAATAAGACGATCGCATTCCGCAGGTAGAAATCGATCCTGCACTTATAAACAGAACACAGGACACAGTTTGTTAACAGACTACAGAGAGAAACACCTCTACAGTGGTGATTACTGTGTGTTTTTATTAGTTATTAGTATTATTAGTTACTATTATTAAGTACAGTGATCATGTGAACAGACACAAACGTCTCAAAAGTCTCTCCAGCTGTTAAAGCCGACTGACAGCTGATCCAGCTGTGATCAGCTGATCCTCCGTCATCAGAAACAGACGTCGCTTCACGTGAAGCAACTGAGGAAAGGACGTCTCATGTCTCTTAAAACATATTTCCTAGGTCCTCTCTCCTCGCATGGTTTCCTCCATGCATCCCTGGTGGGAGGGACTAAGACACAAGGAAAGGACCCAAGTGAGGGAAACGGGGATGCAATTAAGAGACTTGGGATGTACCCCATGAGACGTGGGATGTACCCTTACTCTGGACGGAGATCATTCCGGAAATTCGCGTCACTCCAGTCTCATCGCGTCTGTGCATAGACTTTGTATGTAATCTACTCGGGCGAATAATTCGAGCCGCGTTTGGTGTGAACGCACCAAGGCTTTATCAATTTGAATTAATATAGCAACATTGTGATTTTGACTTGTTATTAATGGTATTGTATTACATATTAACATAACAGACAACACAAGTGGGACTACCTGGGGGACAGTTGAGATCCTCGTTGGTGTTGTGCTGTTTTATCACATTCATAGCATCGCTGTACTCTTCACTGGACTTCTCTCTGCCCAGCAGGCTCACATCGTAAGCATCCAGCACAACGAACGTGAACCCGGGTACCGGGCTGAAGTGGTAGGCGTACATCTCACTGCCAGCCTGGACTTCGCTCAGGCATCTCTCCGTGTGGAGCGTGCTGTTGAGCCTCGAACGCAGCAGCGCGCTCCTGCTGAAGTTATAAAACTCGTGGTTACCCCACACATGGTGGACCTGAACACGACTGGAGCTGAACTCTCTCAGCACGGTGTCCAGCGCTTGGTCAGAGGCGTCGTGGCCCTTGTTGAAGCCGTCGATAATGTCTCCCAGCTGGAGGATAAACTCTGGTTTGATAGCCGACTCGGACCAGCTTTTCTGTGCATTTCTCAGCAGCTGGAGGCTGCTCCGGTAGTACCGCCTCCTCGTCCGGGTGTAATTGTATCCGTCGTCGATATCTGCGTACTGGATGTCAGCTATCACGCCGAATGTAAACAGCGGCGTTTCGTTGGGACGGTCGTCCATTCTCGATCTTCGAAATAACTGGTGTCGTAGAACGTCTGTTGAGTGTGACGTGAAGGTTGAGTACAGAGCAGACACTAACACAGCCCGGTACTCTCTCAACTTCCGCACATGATGAAATCCAGCCAGGCTCTTTGGTTTGTTGTAGTACTGAATTTCCTGTATCGTCCCACACGGTGACAGTACAATAACCAACGTAGTCTGTTAATCAAGCGACGAATAGGACAATCAACGCTACGACTTCCGGCTGCATCCTTCAAAATAATGCTGTTAGAAAGACCGGATATTCAGAACAAGTGAATATGGCTTCTTTTTTATCAATATGCAATTCCACATAGTGCACCCTTCCCTTTGATGGAAATACATTTTCATACTTACATAGAGACAGTTTGCTTCCAATAATTCCAAAATCAGCAAACGACTGTGACCCATTATTCTCTGACCTATTCTCTGACCTTCAGTCACTTCAAACTGTAAACCACGTCTTGTTCTATTGAACCATGAGCTCTCTGTGTTGTTCACAACTACTGTTCATATTTAAGGCTGATATAAGATTCACTCAATGAAAACAAATTTACAACAAGATCGAAAAACATGTCTAAATGATTTTAATCAAGATTTTTACACCTTGAAGAATTATTATGGACAAAGAGAATGTGTTTGTTTGTGAAATAATAACGAATTGATTTCTTAGCAGCTACTAAATCAGCTCTTCCAAACAATGAATCCTCCCCTACATTTGTCTGAGCACACTTGGTATTTTCAGCACATATTTCCTTTTAGTCAGCTCAATTTGTTTCCATTCATTTGATAGAAGCTAATCATAAAGCATATAAGTTGTCTGAAAGCCTCCAGGAGTCCACCTCACTCCCTATGCTCTTTCACTCACACATGTTCTTCAGAATGTAACACTGAGTGAAGTGCATTGAACAGAATGAAGTATGAGAAATACAGGGGACTCCTAGTCGGGTCTGCTAGTTTTGCAGTTCTTGGCGGTCTGAGGCATATTTGGTAAACTCACTGCCCACTCAGAGCCTGGTTCTGTTCCAGGTCTTCCTGGTAAAGGGTCGCTGCTGGCTCATGGGGAAATGGTTGGTCTCTGTAAATTGAAGGGTACGGTCTAGAGCTGCTCTTTACGAAAACTCTCATGAGATACTTTCTGTTGTGATTTGGCGCTATACAAATAAAAATGGATATGACTTAAACTAATGAGCTGCTTGGAGCCCCGAACTGAAACTTGCTTAGGGCCCCGAAAAGGCTTCGACTGGCTCTGCAGCTACTGTACTAAGGTTAAACTTGTAATGGGGGTTGTTATTTTTGGTTACATTATTAGGATAAAGTTTCCCTTCTCACATAAGAAGATATACGTTGCTCTGTAAACTGCCACAGAATGGCACGGCACTGTATGAAAAGTGCACACTGTATACATCCAATGGTAATTCATTACAGTAGGCAATGGAAAGTTTCCAGTTGCTACAACCACACACCTTCATGGGAAAACACAAGCTTAACAGATTTATTTACATATGTATGAGTATATTTATGTTGTTTTGCTTTGTAAACAGGTTGAAAGATGCAGGATTGTGGATTGATATCACAGGTCAGTTCTCTGCTCCCTCCTCTGCTGAAGAGCTTTCCTTTTCCCCACCTGGCCAAAGAAAACAGACAAACTCACTAACACAAGTGCAGATTTTGAGCCCTTATCTTTTTACACATGTCACTTCCAGGACTCTTTATATCCTGTCTGGTCTCTTTGATTCATATAACAGCAACTCTTCAAACTACAGTCACAAAAACAGCCACGGAGTTGAATGTCTGCCCCAGTAACAACAACAAAAAACAAAGACTAAGGTATATTTACTGAAGGTCTATTGTATTTCTATCAATAGTTATGATAAAGTTCACCTGAAGTGTCTTTGCCTGGAGTCCACAGCGTCAGGCCCGTGACATACTTAGGAATCCAATTGAGGGCGGTGGTTGAGGCCAACTCGCCCTCAGCTCGATCCTGCAAAGAATGGAGCAAGGCAAGAAACCTGTAGGTATAATTTCATCTTGATGTTTTCCCTGTGTTCAGTATTTGTTACAAGGAAGCAGCATGACTGTGTGTGGCGCAAGGCTTATAGTTCTTAACATGCATCCTGAAGTATTTATATAGCCAGTCAACATGACCAATCACATCATGCGTATAATGTCAAACATGCATGTAGATCAGGCACGTGTGCCACAGAAAAAGAAGAATACTTCTAGGATGTCACCATGCAAGACACTGATGTAGCTGAGTGACCCATGCTACTGACAAAAGGTTGTGAATAAAGACAGTGGCAGCACCTCCTCTGCTCCTCCTGAGGTCCCTAAAGTGAGATAACCGTCTCTGGAGCCCGGGTAGGGCGACTTCTGTGTTTTTATATGTTTACCATTCTCCTCATCAGTCGCTGGCTGGAGTTTCTGTTAAGAGAGTTGTCATGGTTGTTGTGTCTCTGTCACTGGGTGTCATATCATGACAGGCATTCCATGTGCCCTGACGAAGTTCCGGTTTCCCAGATGATCCTGATGTGTTGCTGTTGAATTACCTGCTCTGCTTGATGGTATTCACCGTGCTGCTCACACCCAGTGTCGAACACGTACTTCCCCAGACCGCGTGGCTGCAAGATAAGAAGGAATTCACTGACAAGGAAAGAATCTTCTCTGACAATGTTACAGATCAAAATGAAACAAAAACAATTAATCATTTAAAGTAAAAAATATGTTTTTCTAACAGCTTGACCAGAGTAGCTTCCTCTTACCTTGGAGGTTATATCCAAAGTGAGTGCAGCTGTAATGTTGTGTGATGGATAGCTAATAATAAGACTGTTTGTCTCACCTGAGGGTTTATAACCAGTCTGATCGTCAGACTGCTCATGTTTCCTGTCAGATTGGATCTATTTTTAGCATTCTGAAATCTTAGTAATCACAATGTTATCATTGATTGCACTTATGGCCAGAGCTACAAAAGTGAATCCTAATTTGTAATAAACTGTATATCTATGAGCAACCATTATGGCTTTTTTTCTGATACTGACAGCTCCACATATGGAACGTAGAGGAAGTGAATTTAGAGAGGCGGACAAATTGATGTCGATTTTACAACTAAGTATGTACTTTAACTGAAAGCTGAGCTGATACAACTACTTGTATATTATATTAAACCATCTACGTTATTAATTCTCTGACAGAGAATGATCTTGCCAAGCATAAATGAACCAAACTATCTAGATCAGGGGTCTTCAACGTTTTTCAGGCCAAGGACCCCCAAACTGATAGAGAGATGGAGCAGGGACCCCCGACTATATATATTGTATAAAATTGTGTTTTATATTAAACTGGGGCTAGTGCCATGTATAAACATACCTCTTTATTGTGCATTCAATACTAAGCTATTCAAATAATACACAGGTTCATATATTCATGTTTTTATTTTAAACATGTGCAAGGTACAGTGAGTAGGGTGGTCGTGTCACTGCCATTTATAAACATACCTTGTCAGCTAATACCAATGCCAATATGAACATTGTCTGTCAATTGCATGATAATCATGCATACAAGCTATTCAAATTGATGTTTTCATTTTAAACATAAATGTGGAAACGAAAATGAGTGATGGCCTAGTGCCACTGCCATGCATAAACATACCTGTTATCATGCATACAATACTGAACTATTAAAATAATGTAAAGATTCATGGACATGGACAGACAATGTAAAAAAAAAATTTAAATTGTATAATCAACCAAAACTTTCGCGGCCCCCTATGGGTCGCGGACCCCCTGTTGAAGACCTCTGACCTAGACCATTATTGTCCCCTGTAACTACTCAGACTACAGTGAAAGACGCTCATGATTCTTCATTGACCCATAGCCAAGCGTTTTGTGAATGAGTAATCAAAGGAGAACTTACACTATTGTTGACAAAGTTGCCCTTGTATCTGTGGTTAGAGTGGATATACTCTCCAGCTGACTCCATCTTGCCATTCACCCATGAGCCTTTGTACATTGAGCCGGTTTCACTGTGGTGGTAAATGCCCTGTCCATGCCTGGTAATCACATAACACCAAGCATGTCAGCAGTTTTTAAAACTCCCATTCTCTGTACCTCATGTGAATGGATAAGGTAATGTGCAGGTTGTAAGACATTGATGTTGAAACTAAGTTTTTGACACATATTTATAACTGTTATTTTACCAGCTTTTCAGTGACTGCATTTCATATATCAATACATCCTGTATATTTACATATAGTATTTTTAATGCTGTTGAAACAACATATGCAACTGAGACATCTGAACAATGTCATCATCATACATGTTGTTTGACCTGCAAGGAAGCAAATAGACACTTCATTCATATTTCTATTCTCTACAGCAGTCATTTCCCAAGATAAATCACATTCTCATGCATTTCTCTTTATCATAGGGAAAAATAAAGCAAGGAGGCTTTAAATCAAGAAGGTACAGGAATGTGTGCCTTCTGAAAATAAAACGACAGACACCTCAGTGACACTTGTGGTTTTAAAAGTGTAGTTATACCTCATATGAAGCAGCCACTCTCCATCATACGTGTCTCTGTTGGGGTACGTGTAGGCCCCATGACCCTGCCTCAGGTCCTCAACCCACGACCCTGAAAAGACAACAGTAAGAGTTTGTTTCTGAAGCTCTGTGGGGGGGCTTCAGCTGGACCCATATCAGCTGTTCACGTTTAAAACCTTCACACGACTGTAAACAGAAATGTTGATAGCCTCCCTGCACACACTACTGAAATAAAGACGTTGGCAACTATCTGAACTCATATGTTTTAACTTTACTGTACCTTCATATTGAGAGCCATCTGGATAGTAGAAGGTGCCCTGTCCATGTTTCTTGTTCTGGTAATAGTCTCCCACATATCTTGCCCCATTCTCGAAGCGATATGTCCCCTATTAGACAGAACAGTCAAAGATAAGATAAATATAGTTGTCAAAGAGACTATTATTTTCCATGTAACATAATGTAAACCTTTAGGGCAATAACAGAAACACTGTTTCCATCATAGACTGAATGTGTACCCAGAGATGGGCAGTATTTCTATTACTTGTATTTGAAATACGTATTTCAATTACTTTGAGTAATTTGTATTTGATAGGGCCGATAAAAATCTTACATAATTTGTAAAAAAATACTTTAGAGTGGAGTAATTTTGTATTTAAAATACTCAAAATACTTTCTCCACAAATCAAAAAACAGTTCACGAGTTCAGTCTTCAGATCTTCAAGTTCAACGGATTGTCTGTCAAGTTAAATATATTATCTGAGTGTGACAGATGTCAACTAGCTTGATGTATAATTGATGTCTGGGTCTGGCTACATAGCCTATTGTATATACATGGTGATGGTTATAATATCAAGCTAGCGATTTATGCTGTCTATATTCATGGTGATGGTTATAATATCAAGCTAGCGATCGATGCTAACATGCTAATGACGCTAGCATGCTGTCTAGGCTAGTGCATAGCCAGTGTTTAGCAAGTTAACTTATCAGTCGAGTAGCTAGCTATAGGAAGAGGGAGATTGGGAGCTTGTATGTTCATGATAACCTTATCAAGAGACGTCTGACCATCTAATCTTGCACTGTATTACAAGTTATGCTGTATCTTCTCAATGTGAATGTCATAATGCCATGTCAATTACTGGCAGATAATATAGTTAACAGTTAGCCAGGCTATGACAGTAGATGTCCATTTGTTTAAAAAAAACAAAAAAAACATTAAATATCCAATTTATTTTATTTGAAAGGCATATTATGAAAGTATTCCTAGTTTTATTATTTCATACATTCTACAGTTGGCCAGGTGGACAACATGTCTGTGACTGTTCTTCCTTTTTGTGGGCTTCACCAGAGCTTTGTGTACATTATATATAATTATATTATATTATATAGCCCAAACCTGAATGCTCTGCTATACCAAATTGTGAGAAAACGGAAAATCCAGAAAAAAGTATTTCCTATATTTTAAATACAAAATACATGTATTCTATTTTGTTACATTTTCTGGCACCAGTATTTTGTATTTTATTATGATACATTTATTTGAGGGGTATTTTGTATTTTGTATCAAAATACATTTTGATGTATTTTTGCCCATCTCTGTGTGTACCTATAAACAAAATAGAATGGAGAGTAGCCTAATAACATGTCAGTGTAGACTTTGCATAAGTACAATCAGGTCAATGCTCTGATCACATCTGAAGGCTAAAACGTCTCCTGTGGAGTATTTCTTCATGCGTTTCCTCCCCATACATGGAGTAACTGGTGTGGATGTTGAGAGCGTCTAGCCTGTACAGACCTAACGTTACGTTTGATGTAACTGTTACGTGCTTTTATATGCAGTACAGCAGCAGCCCTGTCGTGGAGTGCGCTCTGTGTTTGAATGCGTACTTGTCCTGAGTGGGACTCGGTTTGCTGTCAGCCCCAGTGGGCCTACGGGCTTAACTTAAACTGGTGGACATGCTTTGGACTCCACAAAGGCACCTTAGTAACCTAACGTTAGTTATCTTACCTGTCCGTGCCTCGAGCCGTACTCGTACCGACCCTGATATATGTCTCCGTTGAGCAGATCAGCTTTCCCGACTCCGTGCCTCTCCCCTGCTTCATTCCTGTCCCCTTCATATTGCTTCCGGTGAAACAAAGCAGAGAATAAGTATCCAAAGACAGAGGAAATGTGACACAGATGAACACACAGCCACATGCTACCGTTAGCTTCAGCCAGTTAACGTCACCGAACAGAGTTTTCATTATTTTCTCTCACCCCGAATTTACTGCGGTCATCATCCAACTCATCAGAGCCTACATACGACATAGTCCTCAGTCACTTTCGAAGTGTGGACGATGTACGCTAAAGTTTGAGCTAACGTCAGTAAAGACTGGGAAGATGCTCAGTGCGCTCTTGCCAGTTTACGGTTGCCGTGACAACGGTCAAACCCACGTGACCAGGAGCTGCATGTGATAGGCTGGAAGTTAACCGGCTATCCTACGAAAGCTGCATTTACTTGAGAGTAACAAACATCTGACGTTTTTAATTAATAGCGAGATTACTATCTCAGGATTTTGAAAAAAGTTTGAATGACACAATTCTACTTCTGCTTTTTCTGAATGAAAGTGCTTAATTGGAAATACAGAGCATTAAAGGTGCTGTTGAAAACGTTGATAACATTCAGCCAAAAGATTTCGCTCTCCCCTGCCTAATATCATTGCAGGCACGTCACACAGTGGTTGCCAGTTTGTTGCACAACCCTCATTTCTCATGGTCGAATGGAGTGAGACTGATGAAATAATAAGACAGATGGACTGAGGTTGTTTTTCTTTTTGCAACATGCAATCATACCTAGATTTAGGTTACTTTAGTGCGGTGGTGTTTTAAGAGTTGTCTTACATAATAATACATAATCTATGATAATATTAGGATATGGCTAGCTAGTTTTCGGTCAAATTTAGCTTGTCATCTAAGCAGTGGTGTAATGCAGGGCATCTGCAGGTATATACGGCATATACTTATTCTTTAGTCGGCCACCCACTTCTAAATCCCCTCTGATGGGCATCTTCGTTACATTGTTTGAGAGAACTATAACGTTAGGTAACCAAATTGGATGCAACCAGTTGGTACTATAGTGTAACAAACTTCCAGTTTCAGTCAGACACACTCACCACATTTAAGAGTAGGCTTAAGACTTTCTAGTTAAGGCTGGCTCAGGTCTATAGTAAGGGCTGGCTCAGGTTCATAGTTAGGGCTGGCTCAGGTCTATAGTAAGGGCTGGCTCAGGTTTATAGTTAGGGCTGACTCAGGTTTATGGTTTGGGCTGGCTCAGTTTTATAGTAAAGGCTGGCTCAGGTTTATAGTTAGGGCTGGCTCAGGTTTGCCGTGGACCAGCCCCTAGATGTGCTGCTATAGGCCTAGACTGCCGGGGGACTTCCTAGGATACACTGAGCTCCTCTCTCCTCTTCTCTCTCTCCATCAGTTTTCATATTTTAATGTACAGAAAATGTATCAGATTTACAACACTGTGTTCAATCAAAGTAAGACTTTTATGTCCCGAGGACAGCAATATGTGATGTTTTATTGAATTATTTGTTCATTTATTTGCCCCTGGCACAGATAAATCCTACCTATCAATTAGTTTCATGTAACTTTTACATTAAAGTTTATATTGAAGTCGCAACGATTTGATCTTTGTCGTAATACACTTTGGTTTGGATTAAATAATTGTACAAAATATATATATTTGAACTATATTAATCAAGTACAAGCATCATACACATCTCTGCTACAAATAACTACTTGGTGTTTGTTTCTAGGACCTACCGTTGATTTACAATTGCACCGATAGTGGCGGAAGTGATCAGAAAGTTCAGAGAGCTCAACACACCTGTAACGTTTCATGACTGCATCTTGCACAGCTGTGACATTATCAAAATCCACAGATACAGTCCACAGACAGACAGCGACTATACACTTATATATCAACACCTGGCAAAGTAGTCAAGGTGCTAGGTGTCTCCATGACCGCAATTTGTCACGATGACTCACACACAGATTCATTAAGTGAAAATAATCTGTCTCAGCTGGTAACAGCAAACAAAAAAAGTTTATTCACAGGTTTGTTAGAATGTGCCAAAATCTCCTTGTCTTCAGGGAACATAACACAGTGCTTGTGGTTTCGCAGCAGTGACACTGGAGGGCGATGTGGTCTACCTTCCATTTGCAAGGAAATGGGAATTTCAATCATCACACAGGGACGGAAGTATGACTGCAATGTTTGTATTGACTCATTTCCCCCTGAACGTTCAATTTAAGGTAAAACAAAACAAACAAACTCAAGAATGTCCAGTATCCAACAGAAATTGACAATGTGCATGAAAAACTTGACTATGTTTTTTGGATAAACAGCATGTATGAATTCATATTTACATATCAGAATCTATTCAACATATCAAAATGTATTGCTTGGTTAAATTAATAATGATAATGTTCTTGCTTAGGGAGGACCAATTGTCCATCAGCTGTCCATCAAATGATCAAAGTGCAGATAATACCTTTGTTTAGCAGCCCTTTATTTAGACAACTTGAACTTGACTTGACATTAACTCATAAGCCATGAGATTTTACCATCTGTTGCATTAAAGATTAGAATGAACTCTGCTTGTAATCCACTCTGCTTTCTGAGACATTTGAGGAGGCAATATTCAAAATGTCTGAAGCAGTTATTCAATCAAACACATGCCAGTTAAAAATGGCAACTGGAAGGCAGTTTGTGGCTGCAGTGATAATCCACTGCATGTCCTCCCACAGAGTAGCATTGTCCCTTTGAGGGTAGTCTCTAAGAATATCTCATTCCTGATGAATTCCCTAAAGTAGCCCGCATGTCTAAGATGGAGGCAGGGTTACATGTGGGTTCACTGGCTGCTTGTTCATGATTTAGCACCCTTCTTGTCAGTTTACAGCCATATAGTCTCTCTCTCATGACACCAGAATTACAAATGAGTGACAGTTTAAAGACACATTTTGATGTCCTCTTAGCTTTAAGGTGACTAGATTTCTGAAATGAAAACCAGGGCCATTTCCAGTTGGGTAGTAAATATATAATTAAAACACAAAATGTTGAAAGATTAAATTAAAAAGTTCCAAAATTCTAGTTTAACCATGGTAACTGTTGTACTGTAATAAACCATGTTGCAGGCCGACTGATAGTATTGGCTAGTAACTAAGTAACTGTGTCAGATAATCATAGTTTACAGTACCATGTTAAATGAAGCTAGTAAACTATGGAACACCCAATAAAGAAATGGTCAGACTACAATAGTTCAATACATTGTATGAGGCAGACCGTGAGCACCTCCGCCGCCCCAAAGCACTCACAGGCGGGTACTCTCACAGAAGCCTCGCGCAGCATTCCCAGCTGCAGGGATCAGGGATCAGGGATGGTCGCAGTTTTTTAGTTATGTTACTCAATCCGTTCTCACATTGGCAACACAAAGCGATTAATACATGTAAATTGTTTTTATGGGGAGGTTATGTGCGAAAAATGTCTTGGTGGGTTTTAACATGTGATACAATGTTTCATGCATCAAACAAGATCATTTCTGAGCTTTTTGGGTTAGGGGCCTTCAGTCTTTATGCTGCAGTAAGCTAGGCTTACATCCTGATGCCAACTGTGTACTTTACGCACAAACATGAGATTGATATCAATGTTCTCATCTCACTCTCGGAAAGACAGCAAATGTATTACACAAAAACATTCTTATTTAGATGGCTTTAAATTGTTGAGAAATGTGTGTTATTGTCTTTGAATGTCTTTCAGGCATTTTATTTTGTTCATTCTGTGGATGTTCTGTGTTGATTTATGTATGGACCGATGCTGCTATTTCGGCTAACACAAAAGAAAAGACCATTTTCTCAACAGACCGTGTTGATCAAATAAAGGTCAAATTAATCAATTAGATAAATGAAAACATATTGTGTGTCATAGACCAGTGTGAACACATAGGCTATAAAGAATGGCTTGGATATGTCAGTTTAAAATCCTATAACAGCTGCTAATCGTAGAGATTCATCCTTAATCATACTGTTTGGTTCTAATCTTCCAAACACAGCAATAAAGATGCTAAACATACATTGTGTCAGTCTCTGCAGGCTCGGAGCATTTCAGCATCCATGTGAGCGTTGGATGTCTTGCAGAAGTCACCTTCCTTTGACATTCATTCTTTTCTTGAGCTGCTGTTGCTCGGATTTATAACAAAAGCTCGGTGACATCTCCATGATATCACATGCCAAAGTAATCACTTCTCTCCACCCACATTCATTAGAGGCTTTGACCTAAATATAGGGGTTTGCTGTGTCTCCTAATTTACCAAGAGGGACCTTATAAAAGCAGTAAGGGTTAAAGCGTCCACATTTCTCAACTGGAACTTCTGCTGGTGAGGACATGCTCCTGTTTCACTGTTGTGTTCACTGAGTGTGAGAGTTACTGACTTAACTGTTAGGCTTTCATCTTCTTTCTGATTCAGGTGTCTAGGTCGAGGATACATTATCAGACTTGTAACCCACAGAGGTAGGGGTTGATATTGATTATGATGACTGATATCCTTTATTCTACAGTTATTAGAACCACAATTCTAACCTCTAACCCTGGACCTTTCAGTCCCCTCTGGGGTGTATTGCAGAGATGAGTTCTGATGCTGAAATGAGTGTGTTTGTGGAGGCTGCCCCGTACCTGAGGAGACCCGAACAAGAGAGGCTTGAATCCCAAAACAGGCACTTTGATGCTAAAACTGCAGTGTATGTGGTGGATCCAAAAGAGATGTTTGTTAAAGGCACTCTGCAAGGCAGAGATGGCAGCAAAGCAACCATTAAAACTAATGCAGGACAGGTACGTTAGCTGTGGACGAGGTAAATCACCCATATGCTCTCCATATTGTTCTGCTGATGAAGAGCACGTCTCTCGTCACAGGTTGTAATAGTAAAGGAAGACGAATACTTCCCCATGAACCCACCCAAGTTCGACAAGATCGAGGACATGGCCATGATGACCCACCTCAATGAGGCCGCTGTGCTGTACAACCTCAAAGAGCGTTACGCAGCGTGGATGATCTATGTGAGTAATGCAAGACTTACTGTAGTTGATGATAACCATTCCCAATGCCAGAGGAGCTAAACCGACACCATGTACACCAACATTAGGGTTTTGTGATGTATCTACGCCCTGACAAAGGCACTATGCAATAGCTACTTTTTATGCACTTTCAGTGTAAAAGGTCAAGACTAGGGATTAGAATTTGATCTGACAGCTACATTTAACAATCTGGAAGCTCATCAGTATTTTGCGGTGTTCAAATTACAGTGTGATATTATATAACCAAATTAAATCTAAAGAAGCTGATATTGAGATCCA